CAAAAGGGAGAGGAAATATACACGTAAAAATCGATAAAATCATGATACAAAGTGAAGAATGCAGATGGAAATATAGATGTAAATATCGAAAAAGCAAGATACAGAGTGAAGAATGAGGGAGGAAATCTAATGGAAAAAAATCAATAAATTTATGGCAAAAAGTGAAGAACAGAAGTGATAATCTAAAGTGAAAAACAATAAAATCATGAAAAAGAGTGAAAATGGAGATGGAAATATACAGGTAATACACTTGTGGATATCTAAGGGTAACAACCAACAAAATCATGAAAAGGAGTGAAAAACAGAGGCAGAAATCTACATGTAAAAATCAAGAAAAGTATGATAAAATGTGAAAAACGGAAGTGGAAATATACGGGTAAAACTAGATAAAATCATTAATCAGACTGAAGAACGTGAGTTGAAATACATAGGTAAAAATCATAGGAAAGAGTGAAGAACAGAGGTGGAAATCTGCAGGTATGAATTGATAAAATAATCACACCAGGTGAAAACGGAGATGAAAATAAACAGGTAAAAAACGACAAAAAAAAGAATGCAAAACACAAGAGGAAATCTACTGGTAATAAACGAATAAATCATAAAACATAGTTAGAAATTCCCGGGGAAAAATCGATAAAATGGAGGCAAAAAGCTAAGAACACAGGTGGAAGTCTTGCAGGAAAGAATCGAACAATTATGGCAAAAAAGTTGAACAAAAAAGTAGAAATCTCCTGGAAAAGAATACCAAAATTATGAAAAAGAGCAAAGAAAGGGGGTGGAATTCTACGGGAAAAATCGATAAAATCATGACAAACAGTAAATAACAGAAGAAAAAATTTACAGGATAAAATTAATTAAATAAAAAAGATATTAAGAACAGAGGTAGAAAGCTACAGGTAAAAATCGATAAAATCATTCATGACACTGAGTGAAGAATAGGAGTGGAAATTTACTGGTAAAATTAGATAAAATTATGACTAAGTGTGAATAATACATGTGGGAATCTAGTGGTAATAAATAAAAAACATCATGACAAAGAGCTAAAAACATTGGTTGAAATCTACAGGTAACAATCGTTAAAAGGATGTTAGACAGTGAAGAGCAGAGACGCGAATCTATTGTTAAGAATCGATGAAATGATGAAAAAGAAAGATGAAGTGTGGTGAAAATCTACAGTTAAAAAATCCAGAGAAATGTTAAAAAGTTAAGAACAGAGTTGGAAATCAACAAGGCAAAATCGATAAAATCAAGGCTCAGAGTGAAAACTTGGAAAGGAAATCTACGGGTAAGAATAGATAAAATCATGACACCAAAGAGAGAACAGAGGTGGAAACAAACAGATAACAATCGATAAACTCATGACACAGAGAGATACAGTGAAGAAAAGAGGTAGGAATCTACTGGTAAAAAGCGACAAAATCATGATACATAGTGAAAAACGGGACTTGATGGTTGTAATCTACAGGTAAAAATTTATATCACGACACAGAGTAAATAAAAGAGTTGGAAAGCTACAGACGAGAATTCATAAAATCATGACAAAGAGTGAAGAACAGATGTGAAAATCTACAAGTGAAAATCGATAACATCATGACAAAGAGTGAAGAAGAATAGGGGTAGAAATCAACAGTTAAGAATTGTTAAAATCTTGATAAAGAGTGAAGAGCAGAAGTGATAATTTACAAGAAAATAAAAAAAATCATGACGAAGAGGGAAAACAGACGTGCAAATCTACAGGTAACGATCCATAAAATAACGACTAAGATTCAATAACGCAGGTAAAAATGACATAGAGTGATGAACGGAGATGTAAATCTACTGGAAAAATCGATAGAATCATTTCAAAGTGCGAAGAATGTGGGTGGAAATGCAGAGGTGAAAAAAAATAAAATTGTGTCATAGAGTGAATAACTGAGGTAGAAATGTCTAGAAACAAATTGGTGATATTGTGGCAAAGAGTAAAGGATAGAGCTGGAAATGTGAAGATAAAAATTTATAAAATCCTGACAGAGAGTGATGAACAGATGTGAAAGCCCATAGGTGAGAATCGAAAAAATCGTACAAAGAGCGAAAAACGTAGGTTCAAACCTAAAGGTGCTCGTCCTTTCAGCTGTGGGGATGTTATAATGTCGGTCAATCCCACTATTTGATGGTAAAGAGTAAACCAAGACTTGGCAGTAGGTGGTGTTGACTAGCTGCCTTCCCTCTAGTTTAATATTTACAAACTAGGAATAGTTAGTGCAAGTAATCCTTGTGTAGATTTGTCCAAAATTCAACAAACAAAACAACAAAAAGTGTTCATAAGATAAATCAAATACCGTAAAATTTATTTACAAGGAATGGATATCTTGTTAAGCCATAACATATACGACTTCTGAATTTAGCTTAGGGGGTTTTGTAAACATAAAGTCAGAATGTGTTAAAAAGTTTTCATGTCAATAGGCATATAGCTCTTATTTATTTTATTATCAATTTTTTATTAATTTTGAACTAGAAATAATTATTGGGAACTCGCTGTAGCAATACCACATTTTTATGAAATAGATTAAAAAGTCGGAAAACTGCATAAAATGGTTGAAACAATAAAAAGTTTATTTTTTTTGGGCTATGTGAACGAAATAATATGAATTAAATTATATTTTTCCCTAGTTTTCCTAAAATCAAAATTTCCAATTTTTTGCTTCTTCTTTAGCCCTAAGAACGACGACTAGCGGAGAATCACAATATCAGCTGCGACGTTTGCGAGTGCACGTGACGTGTAAACGAGCTTTCGTCTGTAAAAATACAAAACTGTGGAAATAATCTAATATGTGAATATTCTATTTGCATTGAACATCATCAGAGGAACTTCGTTCAAACGACGTAGCTTTGTTTCATAGGAGACAAAAACTGATGCTTGTACGTGACAGTGTAATCAGACAAATACCCTTAACTGATTTTTTGAACATACCATGAATAAGATAAATTCTGATACTGTTACTAACACTAACATCCCTGACCTCAAATATCAGCTAAAGGTCAGACTGAGCGAACGTCATGAGTCATAATTTATATATATATTTGTGCACACAAGTTTCAGTGGCTAGTGCCTTCCAATTCATGAAATTCTAGCAAACACATGCATAACTGATGTTGTGGGAGAAAACATTGGTTGAAAACGTAGAAAGGCCAGTCTTCTAAGCAACAGTAGACCTAGAAATGGATCTAGAAACAGTGATTCAGCATGTTGGTTCTTTTGGAAAATATCAGAAACAATTGGCAGCGTTACTGTGGGGACTTGTTTCGCCTTTCCTGGGATTTGTAATCTATGGAAATATGCTGCTGTTGTTGACTCCGGATCACTGGTGCAACATCCCGGAGTTAGGAAACCTAACGTCCGTTGAGCGGCGTCGCCTTGCCGTCCCTATGGAAAGTAACAAGGGCAAGATTAGATACAGTCAATGCTATAAATATGACGTAAATTTCACACAGGTTCTAGTAGAAAGCGGAAGTACTTTCCCAAATCCTGACGAAGATTGGCCCATTGTTCCTTGTTCAGAAGGTTGGGAATATGATTATAGTTTAATTTATCCTACCATTGTATCCCAGGTACGTACAAAAAACAAAACAAACTGTAACAAAACTCATTATACTATAGTATTTAATTTTGTATTACGCTTCATTTCCTCACGTAACTTAAAATATTCATGCTGAGATTGATACATTGTTTGTACGCCTACGTCTTATACTTAGATAGTTAGTTTTATTTCAACTTACATCATATGTATACATAAGTACATGAAAAGCAAGATATTGAAAAGTAACAATTTTAAATACTTGTTTGAGTTGACCTATTTGAATGAAAAATGTACATGCACACATATATAGATCAATTTATATATAAGAGTGGCAGTTGTATTGATCTTTTTATTCAATTTTGAGCTTACTTTATGAAGTCTCTAGTATGTGTTTTTTTGCAGTTATGCTGCAGTCTGTATTTTGACTACTTCACCAGTGCTATCTCTGTTAAGCAGAAAGAAACAAAACTATTGTAATAATTTTATAGCCACTATGACTCATATTTACGTTTTTGACCGTGTTCACACTGATAACACTAACTAGTCCGAAAGGAGTGGGGGTTATTTTTTATACTGGTGTACATGCTATTTCACTAAGAGTAATATAACAACAAAACCAGCAGCTAAACGTGATTTTACCTAACCTTAGTGTTAGGCCTAATAATAATGTTCCTTGATTTGAAAATTTAGTAAGAAATTTACATCACACCTATGTAGGGTTACCTGACGTCTCAGTTTTTAGCCGTATGTTTTTTCTGCCCTGTTGAAAAACAGGAAAAGTATTAAATTGTACCAGTTTCTCTGTATCTCGGTCTTTCATATATATATACGGTTTGTCATTATCCATGGCTTCTTTAACTTTTATTTGAAGAATCACCTGACAAAGATAAATCACACAGAACAATGTTCACCCCATCTCTGTCACGTTTTCTTAACCCTTCTTGTCATTGAGCAACCGCAGGAATTGAGATTTGTAAACCTGCCCAGCCGCGAAAAAAAAAAAAAAAGAAGCAACACTTTTCTTTTTAGTAGGTTAAAGAAAACTTAGGCATGCTTTTTAATTTACTTATTATTTGTTTGATTAAGCTTTTAAATTTTTTTATTTGTCTATTGTTTTAAAACGCGATGTATTAGGTATCATATTGTTTAGCAAATGATAAAAAGTGCTATTTTAATTTAAACTCTTTCAGCTGTTACAGTATCACTCAGTATGGAAAAAAGTCCCTTTTTTTCACCCTGAAAATCTGGTAGCCCTATGACTTTTTAATAATGTATCAGTTTGAAGCTTTTGATTTCTACATGACTAGCCCAACTGCGATCTGATATTGAACAGAAACATTCTGGACAGTGCCTCTCAATGACCTAATTGAAGGAATATGATAAAAATTATATGCTGCCAGATGTGATTTTACCATAAATTTATGTAGTAAAGTGAGAATTAATATACTGTAACGTCTGTGTTCGTTTGTTAATTTTCCGTAGAAATTCTTTCCGAGAAACTTCTGCGATACAAGTCTATTCTTAAATAAAACTAGTTTATTCTTTCTCAATCCAACTTTGCAATACACTTAATTTCCACAGTCACTTTAACATAAACACACGCTATAATTCACAACGATTTACACACTTTACTTACGATCACTACCACTCGCTTGACTCGATTATCCATGTCTATATCTTCAATCTCTCTATCTGCAACTA